GTAGAAAAACAGAAGAGAAGAAACGCCCAGAAAACAGAAGAGAGGAAAGTAAGAAGACAAACTGAGGAGTTTTGGCGGCAGGACCTGGATTTACACAGTAAATCTGACATCAGCGCAGGTCAGTCTGGCCCAAAGTTTAGGAATCAAGAGTTTTCACACTAAAACCACCGATTCCTGGAATAGTCAGCAGATGAGGGCGTACCCCTGCCTGGGAGCTGAGGCAGTGACCACCCCTCTGCGGGGGGGGTCCTGTCCCCGCGCCCACTGCGTGGCCCATGGGACAGGAAGCGGTGCCCTTGGGAGGCCACAAGCCTGGGAGTGCCCAGCTGAGGCCGGGCTGCATGCAGCCGGGCACTGAGCAGAGCCCAGCAGGAAGAGGGCCGCTCCGGGCATCACCAGGGAGCTGGCTGCAGGACAGAGGCTCGGCCCCAACCCAGACCCACCTTGAGAAGCCCCCAGGAGATGTGCGTGCGGCCTCTGATCGGGCAGCTGCTCCCAAAAGCCCCTCCCTGGGTTGGGCCCTCTGAGTTGCCCTGAAGTGGCCAGCTTGGGTGTAGCTGGGGAAACAGTCTCCGAATGGCCCAGGCGGTCAGCGACCTGCCCGAGGTCCAGCCAGGAAGCAGGCGTCCAGGCAGGTCTCCAGTGCAGCGCCCCCCGCCCTCAGAGGTGCAGGACGAGGGACCACCCAGGCCCCGCGTGAACTGCCGCCCCTCGCTGGCCGGGCCAAGTCTGCGGAGGGCTTCCTGCCCCAGGCCCTTGGCGTGGTTTCTCCCTGCCTGGTGGACTCCGCCCCACTGCTGCCATGGCCCTGGCACCCACACGCTAGGGCCCGGCCTGCTCGCCCTCACTCCATCCTGGGCCCCTCACTTCCCTGGCCTCCTGCCTCCCTCTCCGCTTCCTGAGATGCTCGCAGCCTGGTGCCCCTTGGTGCCCTGCTCCTGCCTGTCTGCTTGCAGCCAGACCCGGGGCACAGAGCAAAGGAGCGCCTCAGCCCTGGCTGATGGGTAGACCTTTGAGTCTGCGAGCTGCAGGGCGGCAGCGGGGTCCTGATGACACCGGGCTGGCCCCAGGTCCGGGGAGGGAACAGACCTCTTCTTGTCTTCATGGCTTCATCCCTCAAGAAGTTTTCTTTTTGGCCTAAATTAGGGCTCCTAAACCCCCGGGGGCCCCGAGGACTTGTGAGCACACACGGATTGGGGGGCCTCACCCCGAGTCTCTGACCGGGCAGGCCTGGGTGGGCCGAGCGTTTCACTTCTAACAAGATCCGACATCAGGCTGCTACTGGGGCCCCGGCCTGGCTCACACAGACAGACAGACAGACAGCCGTGTGTGCGTACGTCCACTCATACCCACCCAGTATGTGCTTTGCAGATTCCAGGCAGCTTTCTTTTTCCAGTGGGGACCCCTGCCAGCGCTGTAAGGCATCGGCGAGCAGCTGGGGTCATGGTTAAAACCACACTCCCTAGAGTCATCGTCCAACCACTCACAAACCAAAGACTGGCCTGTTCATCTCTAAGCACGGTCGCTAAATCTCACTCTTCCAATCCGTAGGGGAGTGGCGCTTCCTGGCTCTGGGAGTCACAGCAGTAATCAGACGCCACTGGCGTTTTCCTGCCATGGGGTCAGATGGTCTGACGGTGTCCCCAAGGGAGACACAGCTCACAGCTGCCGTGGATGACACTCAGATGACACGGCACCAGGGCAGCACAGTGCAGGGCCTAGAGACGCGGCTCCGCGGCGTTAACACACACGCGCACGGCTTCCGCTTTTGTCCCGACTGCAGAGAAAACGAGGAGGAAGGATGAAGGGAAGCAAACTGCTATGTCCCTCGTTTAAAAAAAAGTCTCCACCCAAAGAACTGGCAGCGGGACAAGAAAATTCCATTTCCAAGAATAGCTGGACAAGGAGATCCTGCAATTTAAGGCTCGGCTCAAACCCCACCTCTTACGTCAGGCCTTTTCCAAATTCCCCGGCAGAGTGATCTCTCCCGCTCAGCACTCAGTGACACGCTCAGTGCTTACTCGCTCTGCTCAGCAGCCGCGACCTGGGCACAGTGTCCCTGAGGGCAGGGACCCGCCCCTGCGAGGCCTTCCTCTCGGGCATCCTAACTCCCCGGGTAGCGGCCGTGAAACCTCGAGCCGGTTGCCCAGAGCCGGTCGCCCAGAGCAGGTCACACAGAGCCAGTCGCCCAGAGCCAGTCGCACAGAGCAGACCTGCTCCTTTGCAGATGTGCGGTCCATCTCCTCATCAGACCGCCGGGGCACGGGGGCGTTTTCCACACTGTCTGCCACCATACGCGAGTCAGAGCCTTTATTCCCACATCAGTACAATGGGGCCACCAAACACCTCACGCTGGTGTCATGAGGACATGAGATGAGACTCCATCACGTTCACCTAGGGCAGGTCTGCACCCGGGCTCTGCAAATGCCGCTGGTGGGCGGCGGGTGGGCTTGGGTTTGTTCTAAAGACATGGTGACCAGACAGTCATCATTTCCATCATAAAAAAGGACACACGAACGCAGGAATTTTCATTCAGCAAACTCTTGCTCTGTTTAAGTGCATCCCTGCCCCTCCCCCAACTTTACAGAAATTCTGTTTCCATCCAACAAAGAGAGGGAGTTAATATTCACAAAAGGATTCACAATGGGCTTTCTTTAAATAGAACACCTCCCTCGCACATTTTAAGATATTACATCAGTCACAAAAACTGTAGTTGCCAACTTTCCATAAGCACCGCTATTTAAAGTAAGTCATGCTTCTGACACTGGAGAGGATTCAGACTTCCCTGAGGGACCCTCCTCCCCAGCCCTGAGGTCACGTTTCCACTGAGAGTTCCTTGAAGGGCCTCAGAGTCACTCCCGTCGCTGGGGGGAAGCGCAGCCAGGACTGCAGGCGCTTGCCGTGTCAGTGTGTCTGCGACCTGAATGATCTGATGCACGTCATAAAGAAAAGAGAGCACTGCAGCACGGTTTCCACTGCTGCAACGGACGCTCCGAAAGGTGTGTGAGAAAGCCTGTGCTGGACGCTTACTCACAACCAGTGTCCTAGACCCTTGCTCGAAAGTAAGACACACACACTTGTTTTTCAAAATCAGACTCAAAATAGCATTTAGTTTTGTGTTCTGAAAGCAACAGGGCGCCACGCTCAAGTTCCACAC